TGTTCCGAATATTGTTCCAAAGTAATAATTTCCCAAACAAAGTATTCATACAGATATAATAAAAAAACGATGTCGAGTGCGCAAAGAGTATTCTTATATCTTCGGGTATTATTACCATTTTCTAAACACCAAATTGCATATTTGATCTAATAATTAACGTAACAACCTGGAACAACTTTGATTTTTGCCAGAACAAATTTTCTAAGGGCACTTTACTCTTGGAAGTAAACAAATTTTTCCCCCTTTTTTGACATTTTTGACCTATAACGGCGTGATAGCGGCACCAAACTGGAGTAAAGTGCCTTTAAAAAATTTGTTCTGGCAAATATCAAAGTTGTTCCAGGTTGTTACGTTAATTATTAGATTAAATATGCTATTTGGTGTTTAGAAAATGGTAATGTAATACTCGAAGATATAAGAATACTCTTTGCGCGCTCGACATCGTTTTTTTATTATATCTTTGTAAATACTTTGTTTAGGAAATTATTAGTTTGGAACAATATTTGGAACAACTAGAACAATCTGGAACAATCATAAAAAATTTGATTTTCAAAAAATGGGGTGCCAGGCCAAAAAACTGTTTTTTTTTTTCATTTTTCGTCAAAATAATTATTATAAAACTTTTATCTTCTGGAACAATTTAGAACAAGTCTAGAACAACCTGGAATAACTTTTAGAATTTAAAAATTTTCGAAATGGGGTGCTAACTTCATACAGGTCTGAGCATACCATTGCGAAAGTCCCGGAACCACTATAACTGCGTCACGCTCATACCTGCGACGCGATGCTTACAATAATTATTCAGAAATCAATTAATGGCATATGAAGAGGTATAAAATGTCTAAAATATTGTAAAAGATTGTAAAAATAATGATATTTTTAATAAAAATGCTGATTGCCCTTCTTCACAGGAGGTGATGTTAAATTATATATCTAATAAACATTGCAACAAACAACAAATTCCAAAAACACGTATCCTCTATTTTTGTCCATAGTTTACGTACACGAAGTTGCAACAAAATAGATCAACATTTAGTGCAAAAATTTAAACAAAAATTATAAATTTTCAAAATATTAATTAAACAAATAAAGTTTATTGAAATTTTTTTACGCACAAAAATTCCCCATTTAAAGACCAACAATTTACAAAAAAACAATCCAATTATCTTCTTTAATTCCGGAGATATTCCCAAAAATATGATTCCTACTCCCAACTTCGAGGGCTATTTTCACCCCTTCAATGTGAACGATAGCCGATAAAAAAAATACGTGTCAAATATTTTCTTGAGATCTATCTTTCACATAAATTTCATTAAAATCGGTGTATCGCGGTTCGATATGTTTCCTTGTTAGTTAGCGTTTCAATCATTTTCTACCTCGTCTTACAAATGTTTCTTCCAAAAAGTTACTCATTATTATAACTTGAAAAAAATTAATAACATTAATAACATATTTCACAGCTGATTTGGGTAATTAAATGTTGAATACGAAAGAAATCAGAAATGCGAAAAAATTGAAAAATGTCGGTTTTCACAGAAAAATTCAAAATTTCTTTTGATTTTAATATTAAGAGCTAAAATTTTCACTGAACACTATTTAGATATAACAGTTTGATTGATGAAACGTTCACATAATCATTTTTATTAACTATGAGGTTCAAACGTGGTATTGTAATTGCGATGACGAATATTACTGTAACATCGCTGAGTAGGCAATGTCCAATATAATTAAATTTACCGAAGAAAAGAATGGTATATACGAGGTGTGACACAAAAGTAACGAGACTAGTCCAATAAATCATTGTACCTACAGAATCAGTTCTCCGTGACATTATCACCTTCAAAGTAGTCCCCTTCAGCATTCACACACTTATGCATTCGGCGCTGCTATTGCTGGTAACAATTCTGGAACGAGGTTTTTGGAAGTCCTTTCGGACGATTCTCCGTTTTTGCCTGAACCTCTTCAACTGAGGTGAAATGGGTTCCCTTTAAGCAAAATTTAACTTTAGGAAATAAAAAAAGTCGCATGAAGCCAAATCAGGCGAATAAGGAGGATTCCCTATCACAATAATAATTTTGCTGGTCAGAAACTGCTTGACAGATAGTGCCGTGTGAGCGGGTGCTTTGTCCCGGAGCAACAGCCATCCATCGCTTCACAACTGTGGCCTTTTTTTCCTAATTTTTTCACGAAGTCTTTTTAGTATTTCAATGTAATAGTGTTAGTTAACAGTCTGACCACTGGGAAACCACTCAATCATTACAATTCCATTAATGTGGAATTTTGATTTTGACATGCGTGCCTTTTTGGGTTTTGGGGATCCTGGAGACTTTCACTCCATTGACTGGCGCTTACATTCTGGGTCATAGGTAAAAATCCAAATCTCATCACATGTTACAAAAGATTTCAACAAATTTTACAAGAAACTTGATGTTTATTCGCTGTTCGGTTTTTACGTTAGACATTTTTCCGGCAGAATGCAGTTGCACGTGTTCACTAAATAACGCAATATTTCCAAATGGTATGACCGATTCAATCGAAATTGGCAACATGGATAGAGGAGGTATGTGGGATGATGCCACAAAAACAATTGCTGCTAATTCCATTGTTTTTTCAAGTTACAGACCTAGTCTCGTTACTTTTGTGTCACACCTCGTATGTATAATGGCTGAATTGAGTAGAAAAGAAGCTGGTTACAGGAAAATTCCAGTTTCGAATAACACGGAATCAACTGACCGTATTATTTGAGGGAAGCCTGCATATAACAATCCACTTAATAAACTAAAGATCAGCTGCATTTCTCAAGAAATAATAAAAGTATAAACAAATGATGTACGACCTCGTAAAGCATATTATAATTTTCGTTTCCTTCATTTTTTTGAGTTCCCGCCATTTACGCAAAATCCGTAAGATAGTATATCTACGAACACCCTGTATACAAATATGTTCCGTGGCAGTAAAAATATATTCTTTCTATATAAAGCAGGTAAATCCACTGAAGCAAAGCAATTTCAGAAACATATTTAGCAAATCACGAAGAACGCTATCTTACTGGCTGGTTTCGCTCGTTATCTACGCATCGGCCAAGTTTTGGTTAGTTCGTCAACCAATTAAAAGTTCCACTTTTGCCAGTCGATCGAAAGATGTTCTATCTTGAGGCGAGACCGATCGAAAGTTAAAATGATCCGATGACAAGGCGGAAGTTTTTCCTTGTCACCGGAGAGGAGTATTCGCAGTACGGAACGCGACGAGACGGATTTGAGCGGCGACGCTGCTAACTGACGCGAGTTTAAGGCTTGTTAGAGAAATTAGCGTGTCGGAAGTTTGACAATTATACGTGATTCTACCTGACAATCATAAATATTGTACGCTTTCTAACGGTAACCTCATTAACATATTACTCGATTTACAGGAGTGGAAATGTGAAGTACTTAGCTTTTGACTTTGGTAATGTAACCATTATTTGATTCCGAAAACATGATTGAATGTAGACACGCGACTAGAATGTAAGAAAATACACTTTATTTAATTACATGTTTCAAAATGTATGCCGCTCCCATCACGTAATATTCCGGTCTTTTACTTCACATTTCCACTTCTGTAAATCGAGTAATATGTTAATAAAAATATCATGTAATATATGTTTTGAATTTGTCTCGATGTCCTCTAATGATATGAATAAAAGAAAATGTATGTTCCTATTTAAAAAACCCGAGGTGACCTTGACTTTGCCAAAAGAACAAACTGTTTTCAAAATTTGCTTTACTAATATCTATTGTGCACTTCATACCCTGCAAATATTGTTCTAAACTTTATTTCGTAAGGTGGCTGCAAGTGGGAGAAAAATCGTGAGTAGCGTTACAGGTAACACTCTGTATAGTCATAACATGAAATACAAGCCACTCATTTTTTTAAATAATCTCTGTAATTATTGTCTTGTTCGTCGTATGTAGAAATTAATTGTTAGGGTACGGCCTAATTTATGGCAGGGACTAGGGGTTTCAAGGAGTGACGAAAAACAGTTTTCCTGGGACTCTTGGTTTCGCCTTGGGTCTAACTTTCGCCCACTCTGGTTTTCGTCTTCCCCTTCCACAGGGAAGCGCGCTAAGGGCGCACTGGAAGGGAAGGCGACCAGGAAACGAATATTTTTAAATCAGTGACCAGTTCAGCAAAAATCAGTGACCAGATCAGTCGGTCAAAATCAGTTAGACAATTGAATCAGTACTTAGTCGTTTTTCAGTCAGTCAACTGGATCAGTCAGTTGTAATTATTTAGTTCAGGGATCACATACAAATTGTAATTAATACTTCCATATACACACATCTACACACGTACACTCGACACCACACACTTCTACTGAATAAATTGTTATCTGAGGATCAGCTTGGGTATCATTTGTTCCCAATTTAGCCATTGGGTGGTCCTTCGAGTTTTAGGAGGCACTACTGTGCACATAATTTTTAAGGGGTGATCAGCCCACCCCTTTCCATTTGGTCCTTCGAGCCGGATGTGACACGAAGGAAAGACAATAGTTTAGCCAGTGTATTGGTGATAATTAGTGACTCATCACATTGGGGCTATTCGTCGGAATTAGAAAGAAACTCAGTTATTAGAAGTGCAGTGGTGGACAGAACAATTACATAAAGTGTGTGTATATCGAGAAAAAACTCTAAGAGCATTCACGTAAGGAAACGTGGTAAATTTAAGAGGATTCGCGGAGATAACAGCAGCGATCAGGCTACTGGAGGTCACCGTCGGAACTCTTTCAACTATCAGTAAGAAGCAGAGGCAAGCAGAGGCACGCAGGACACCCATCAGGTCAAGGTGCTGAAGATCACTTGAAGATTAGCGGAAAGAAGATCTTCCAGGGCGAAACGAGACTGCTGAGGACGGATTGGGCAACATCACTGGACAATCAGGTGCAGTAAGCGTCGTCCGGTCATATTCCTTCAAACAGTAAGTCCATTTTTTCCTTGATTTGCTTGCGTCAAAAAATCATTAGTATGGATACAGAATTGAAACCTTTAATTTCCGAGCGTGGAACCATAAAGGCGGCATTAACGCGGTTTAATACGTTTTTTAAAGACTCTGGGTCATCTACTTCTGTTGGAGCGTTAAAAAAGCGATTAGAAGCAAATACCACTTTATATGATAAATTTAATAAAGTTCAAAATAGAATAGAGATGTTAGTGTCAGGGACAGATTTCGAGGCAACACATGCAGCAGAGAGGGATCAATTTGAAAATGTATATTTTAATTTAGTCGCGCAAGTCGAGGAGTATATTGAGGGTGCCTCCGGTGCGTCTAGATCAGCAGACGCCGTTGCTGGCCGCTCAGGTACTCCGAGTACAATTGCCGATCCGCAACCTGCTGTAACGTTGCCCACTATTCAATTGCCGTCATTTGACGGCAATTATAGTGATTGGATTAGGTTTAGAGACACGTTTATTTCTTTAATACATTCCAATGAGTCACTGTCCAAAGTTCAGAAATTTTATTATTTAAATTCAGCGTTAAAGGGTTCCGCGGCTCGTGTAATTAGGTCATTAGGAGTTTCAGACACAAATTATAAATTAGCATGGGACGTACTGAAAGCGAGGTACGAAAATACAAGTGCGCTAAAGCGACACCATGTGAATGCGTTGTTGGATTTGCCGACTCCGCAAAGAAACTCGCAAACTTCGATGCGCGAGTTTATTGATGACGCAACGAATCACTTAATAGCGTTGCGGGCACCACGAATTAGCGTAGATGCTTGGGATCCTTTGATTGTGCCCATTTTATCCCGGAAATTAGATTTAGTCTCTTCCAGGGAGTGGGAAAAACGCGTAGCTTCAGGTACTGGAGATATTACATTTAAAATGTTCGCGGAATTTTTAGAGGAAAGGTCTAATTATTTAGAGAATGTTGCAGCTAATAATCAAATATTAGGTAATCGGTCGGAAACGAATGCGCAAAGTACGACCACGCGTAAACCGCCGCGTGTAGCATCGCATATAGTTAATGAGGTCCCTAAATGTTCTTGTTGTCAGGCAGATCATCCGCTACACACTTGCGAAAAATTCAAGAAAATGACTGTTAGGGAAAGATCGCGACATGTCATGGAAGCGCGACGATGTTTTAATTGTTTACAGGCGGGGCATAGAGTTCAGGCGTGTACCCGTAATCATTGTAGATTGTGTAAAGGGAAACACAATATATTATTACATCGCGATGATATACACTCCGGTGCATCAGGATCAGAAACGAAATCAGAAACAGGAAAGGTAGAGTCAGTTAAATCAGCAGTATCAAAATCAGATATAACAAATCCGGAGGTAACATTATCATGCGTATCAGACGTTCAAAATGAATCCTCCCAACACACAATTCTCGCGACAGCAATAGTTACAGTTAAAGATAAGAATGGTCATAACCATGATTGTAGAATTCTATTAGATTCAGGTTCACAAGCGAATTTTATAACGAATGCATTTTGCGAACGGGTAGGGCTTCAGCTATCACCATTCGAAGCTGAAATATCATTATTAGGGTCTTTTGTTAAATTAATTAAAGGAAAATCCGAAGTCCAGATTCGGTCGAATTATAATAACTTTCAAATTAGTATCCCGTGTTATTCAGTCAAGAAAATCACAGATGACATGCCTAATTTTCCCATTCAAAAATCAGCAATTCTGGTACCTTCAAACATTACCTTAGCCGACCCTAAATTTTATGAAAGTAGACAGATAGACATGCTTGTCGGAGCAGGCATATTTTGGAGACTCCTTTGTGTAGGGCAACAAAAAGCAGGACCCAATGTCACTTGGCAAAGGACCCACTTCGGTTGGGTTCTTGGAGGAGTTCTAACATGGCCAAAGGGCAACAGTTTAACGACATCCAGATGTCACTTAGTCACAAATAACGATTTACACCAGCAATTAGAAAGGTTTTGGAAAGTCGAGGAATTGGGCTCAGAACCCAACAATAGTTTAGATGAGTGCGAAGCACATTTTACAGAAAACACGCGTAGGGACATTGACGGGCGGTACATTGTTAAGATTCCCTTTTTAGAAACAGTTAATAATTTAGGAGAGTCCTTGCAGCAAGCTGAAAAACGATTGCAAGCTTTAGAAAGGCGTTTTAGAAAACAGCCAGTATTGCGCGAAGACTATGTCAGCTTTATGAGAGAATATGAAGAATTGAATCATATGACGTGAATCAGCGAGTCAGATGATAAACCCGCGTATTATCTCCCACATCACGCAGTATCTAAGGAAACAAGCACAACAACGAAAGTACGTGTTGTGTTCGATGGTTCTGCCAAATCAACAACCGGTTTGTCACTTAATGATGTTCAGAGAATAGGCCCAATAGTTCAGAGCGATTTAGTTACCATCCTCCTTAGATTTAGAACATATAAGTATGTCTTGTCTGCTGACATTACCAAAATGTACAGGCAAATTTTAGTAGAGCCCTCACATCGCAGATTTCAACGAATTTTATGGAGAGAAACCCCTGATCAGCCAGTGGGTATATATGAGCTTAATACAGTTACATATGGTACTGCATCTGCTCCGTTTTTAGCAACGCGCGTCTTGCGTCAAGTAGGAATAGATAATTTAGAGGATTTCCCAACCGCGAGTAGAGTCATCATGAATGACTTTTATGTTGACGACCTTTTGACGGGCGCGGAAACATCGTCAGATATAAAACAATTAAAGCACGAGTTGTCAAGCATTTTAGAAAGCGCAGGGTTTCCGTTGCGGAAATGGGCTACAAATTGCCCGCTTAGTCAGGACGAAGATTTAAAGGCAGTTGCAAATAAAGAGCTCGCAGCTGAAAAGGACCCAAAAACCCTGGGGTTGATTTGGGCAGTTAGGGCAGACACCTTACAATGGTCGGTCGCCTCTTCAGATTCGACACGGGTCACTAAACGGGTCATGCTTTCCGAAATAGCTAAGATATTTGACCCATTAGGTTTAGTAGGGCCTGTTATTATTCAGGCAAAAATACTTATGCAGAGGTTATGGCAGCTTAAAACAGGATGGGATGAATCAGTCTCCCAAGAACTACATTTAGAATGGTTACAGTATAGATCGAATTTAGGGAAATTAGTTAATTTACGAGTGCCGCGATGCACTATTATTAGTAAATATAATAGAATAGAACTGCACGGTTTTTCAGACGCCTCTCAGGATGCATACGGGGCATGCATTTATCTAAGATCCGAATTAGGACCAGGTAGATGGGAGGTTCGGTTGTTATGTGCAAAATCCAGGGTTGCACCCCTGCGATCTCTTTCCTTACCGCGATTAGAATTGTGTGCGGCGTTAGTTTTAGCTCGTCTAGTTAAAAAGGTTAAAGAATCGCTCTCGTTAAAAATATCAAGCGAAAGATTTTGGACCGATTCAATGATCGTAATTGCATGGTTAAATAGTTCACCTAATAGATGGAAGACCTTTGTAGCAAATAGGGTTGCAGAAATTCATAGTGTGACTTCCAGAGACAGCTGGAGTCATGTTCAATCGCTTGATAATCCAGCGGATATAATATCTAGAGGGACAACTCCTGATAAGTTAGCGGCGAGTAGTCTTTGGTGGTCAGGACCTGCCTGGTTATCAGAGGATGCTGGTTGTTGGCCGAAATCAGGAGATAGTATTATAGAAGCTCCGGAAGCTCGAATTGCTAAGACAACATTTTTAGTATCAAAAGTGTCTAAGTATTCTATATTTGAAAAATTTTCCGATTACTCTAGATTATTGCGGGTAGTTGCATATTGTTTAAGGTTTGTTGATAAATTACGTAAAAAAGAGACATTACAGGGCAATCTCACATGTGTGGAGATAAATCGTGCGAAAGAAACAATAATTGAATTAGTTCAGTCAGAAGCTTTCCACGACGAATTAGTTGACTTAAGAAAGGGCAAAATGGTCCATAAAGCGAGTGCGTTATATTCGCTCAACCCATTCCTGGATGAGCGGGAATTAATCAGGGTGGGCGGTAGACTCAGCAACGCATTCATACAGTATAATAAAAAACATCCACTTGTTTTGCCTGGTAGGCATCAATTTTCGGACCTCGTGATCAGACACGAGCATGCTAGATTATTACACGCTGGCTCTCAGCAGGTATTGAGTTCATTGCGGGATTCAGTTTGGCTCATAAATGGGAACACTAATGTAAAACGCATAATTAGGTCTTGTGTCAAGTGTTTTCGGGTTAGGCCACGCGACACACAATGTACAATGGGTCAGCTACCTGCGTCTCGGGTGACTCCGGCACGGCCATTTATGACCTGCGGAGTCGATTATGCAGGTCCTTTTTTGACAAAGGACCGTACTAGGAGCAAGATTAGTATTAAGGCTTACATGTGTATTTTTGTGTGCTTTGTGACAAAGGCGGTGCACATTGAACTTGCTCCAGATTTGAGCACGGAGGCATTTCTCAATTGTTTTCGGCGTTTTATAGCTAGACGCGGAAGATGCAAATGTATAGTGTCGGATAATGCTACCAACTTTGTTGGGGCGCGAAACCGATTTAAAGAATTAGAAATTTTATTGAACGATCAAAGGCACAATAATAGTATTTCTGAATTTTTATTAAAAGAAGGTATAGAGTGGAAGTTCATTCCTCCACAGGCACCACATTTTGGTGGGCTTTGGGAGAGTGCGGTCAAATCCGCAAAATATCATATAAAGCGGATAATTGGAGAGCAAAGATTAACTTTCGAAGAATTGTATACTTTTTTGACGCAAGTAGAATCTTGTTTGAATTCCCGTCCCATTAGTCCCCTCTCCTCCGATCCGCACGATATGAATCCTCTGACTCCAGGTCATTTTTTGATCGGCGACGCTTTGTGCGCATTGCCAGACAGCGATTTGAGGGACGTTGCTGTAAATCGTTTAGATTGTTACCAATTGATCCAGCAGATGTTTCAGCACTTCTGGCAAAGGTGGCACAAGGAATATCTTCATCAGATGCAGCAGAGATACAAATGGCGTACCACTCCACCTCAGCAGCCAATCGAGGGAATGTTGGTCATCGTGAAGGAAGACAACTCTCCTCCGCTGCGATGGTGTCTTGCGCGGGTCATGCAGACACACAAGGGGAAGGATGGAGCGATACGTGTTGTAACAGTCAAGACAGCAGATTCAACATATAAGCGTCCCATAACAAAAATCTGTATACTACCGATAATTGATAATGTAAACAACACAGATGAATCACTTTACAAGAAACCGATAAGAGAACAAGTTCAGTTCAGACAATTGTAAATATTACTTCAATCTATAGCGAACAGACACATTCAGAGTGAAAAGGTTTCAAATTGACGATCACTTGCAGTCGTTTAGCTTTCGGAACAGCGTCGTTTAGCAATCGAATTCCAATTTTTCTTACCAAGTGATATTTCATTTTAAAAGAAAAGCTTTAATAACATTTGAAACATCGTTACCTCCGTAAAAGGAGTAAGGAAACGCGAATAGTGCAGAAGTTAATCCAGGGATTAACGATCAAATATCGCGTTATTGAACATGCTATGTCCCAAATTTTATTGCAATCTATTTAGTAGTTCTAGAGAAAACATAATGAATGGGTTAATCGTTTCCGGATTTAATATATTAATTTGTTTATATGTGTTATTAAGTATTCCCCAAATTTATTCAGTAATCAGGGACCAATTACTAAGAAAGTACTTACAGTAATAAATATACAGTAATAAATATGTAATACGTATATATATGTAATATGTAAAACTTAGTGTATAAGTAAAATCTGATCGTTTTAGATAGTATTGCAATAAAGAACCGAAGACTTTATAATAGTATACAGGGTGTTCGGCTACTGGTGGACATAATTTCAAGGGGAGGTAGCTGGGGGATACTGAACAACTTTTTCCTTTACCAAAATGTTGACTGAGGCTTAGTTTTTGAATCATTAACGGACGCGAGAGCGACAGCTTTGAGCTTGACAGCTCAGCGTGATCGTGAACAAGCATTGCTTTCACCGTGATCGTATAATGGCCAACAGAAAACTGCTACGTCAAAATTAAATCAAATAACGAATAAAACTATCAAGGATAAGAACGAGTTATGTATTATTTACAAATAGGGGATAAACCAATTAGCTGATTATACATGATAGCTGATTGGTCCACGGATCACCTATCATTGATAACTTAAGGTCATAACATAGGTGATCAGTATTGTTCAACATGCTTGGTATTGGTGCACTGACATGATTGGCCAGCGGTTTACCTATCATTCTTAACTTGGTAAGTGTCATAGATAATCAGTACTGTTCAAGCTGTCGAAGTGTTCGGATCGAACGTGACATCTGCTACAGGTATGACTTAAAGCGTTAATTAACCGATCGTGTGTTTATTCCTGTGTCACCTAGTGTATTAGTGCAAATGTCTAGTGTGTTTTATCAAGTTTTTTAGTGTACATATGGATGTATATTAACATGTGTTATACTGAGGTTCTCCATATACCTATGTGCTTACTAGTGTGTTTTAATTTGTGATTGTACATGTGTATATGGATACATTAGTGTGTTCTTTAGTGTGGTTATTTAAGTGTTTTACCACTATTTTACAGAAACTTTTCTGGGTTTTATGATGTGAATACTTACGTGTTTTGGCATATTTTAATGAACATTGTAGTCAGTTTTTGTTAGGGTTTGGTCGAGCCCTGATATTGCACAAGGTGCCGTCAAAAGTCTATGTTATTGCTAGTGAAGGACCACCCAATGTGTTACAGATTGGGGCCATGAAATAACACTCACTTTGTTATATTAAACGATAGTCTTTAATAAATATGTGAGTGTGTGTATGTGCGACAGATGTGTGTGTGTGTAACTTAGTGTGTATCAAAGTCTTTAAATATTCTAAGTACTTTAAGTTATGTTTGTACTAATGCTGTTCTATACTGTGCTGAGTACTATTCTATTCTCTAACTAAACTGTTTGCTATCTATTCTGATTGGTATCTGTACTGTTTTCTATCTAACGATTTTTTAATTTTCTACCTTCGTCAACACCTCTGTTCTCTCTTCCATTGCGCCCTTAGCGTGGTACTTTTCTGGAAGGGGAACAGAAGTTCCTACGGGGGAGGACGGCGAGAATTTGGGTTTTTCCCAAATGCCGTGACGTCGTTCCCGGTTTGTGGGAACCGTTACCTTTAAGGGCCAGATCGCCCTCTGACCTTCTAAGCTTCGAGGTTTATGACATGGCCTGTGTCACTGAAGCCAAAACTCTAAAGACTAGTGCAGCAATAAATAAATCTGCTAAAAACTACAAATTGTCAGGTACCATCGTAGTACTGGCACGCAGATGGTACGGATACTAAATTATAGGGTTCAAAAGTGACCATTCTCTCGTCATGTCGTAAACCTCATCTGTATGAAACTCTAACAGTTTTGTAGTGCTACCTATGTATATGTGTTTACAAACATTTTTGAATTTTTACCGGGTTTTATGGTGCGATTACCCATGTGTTTTGATATACTTCAGTGAATATTTAATGGGTTCTATAGTGTGACTACTTATGTGTTTTGGCATATTTTAGTGATCCTTTCAGTCAGTTTTATAGAGCTACCTATGTGTTTTTACAAACATTTAAAAATTTTTACATGGTTTTATGATGTGGTTACCTACGCATTTTTACATATTTTCAAATTTTGTATTAAGTTTTAAACAATATTTACTAAAGTGTTTCAACGTACTTTTTCAAATGCTATGGTTTCGTTAACTACACGTTGTAGCATGTTTATGCAAATGTTTGAATGCGTTTTAGTTTTGCATGCTTGTATTTGTTTGCATGTTACTTATTTGCAAATATACTTGTTTATTATAATTTGAATTGGAACATACGAATCGATAAAGAGTTCGCTAACGTGCTTTGTCTTTTTCTGTTTACAAAAGAACGTTTCTATGCTAAGCCGAGGTACCTAATCCTGACCGTACGAAGGCAGCCGTTCTCCGAGATGCAGCCAACCAATCTTTAACGATGCGATCTTAGTGCAACCGATCGATCTGAGGCGCGCTACGAGCTAAGTGATACAAGTCAGCGATCGGTGAATCGTATGCTTTATGATTCCTCCTGCTCCCTTCACGTCGTAGGACGAATGGTCCGAAGCGGCACGAGAACCGGTTGTATTTTTATTATTTGAAGCGAGTATGTGTGAAATATGCATACCACAACTTGAAGATATCATGGAGGGAGCATCGTGGGAAGCGTGCATTAGTTTTAAATTAATTTTAAGCTTGGGGGCGGGCGGTTGGTTTGGGTCTTTGTAAGTGCCTCTTATTCTATCTTGCACTCGTCTTCATAATTGCTGAATTTTTTACGCGTCAGATTGTAGTATACCCAACTATTTTTTGTTAATTGGTCCAAACCCAAATGGGTCATTGGGGGTTGGATAATGCTGTGAACACGCAGCAGTTGTGAGCAGAAAATGCTGGTGTAGCGCCTGGGACATCTTTGCGAGGCAATATCCTCTCTATAGTCAGACTTCTCTACAACGGAAGCAGGGAGAAATAGGAAACACTTCACAGTGTGGATATCCTCTCTACGGTAAGACTACCCTTTGATCCAGGAGGACGAGGTTCACTTGGCGGAAAATGCTGATCCCCATTTTTATAGAAAATGTTGCTAACTTTCTTTCCTTTCCCTTTATTTTTGCTTCGTTTATATTTCATATGAGTGCAATATTAGAATGAGAGGCACATGCGTGAGTTTTAGAATAAGTTTGTTATGTGTTAGTGTATAAGTATTAGTTCCCCTTTTTCCTTTCTCCTTTTATTTTAGTGTGTATGTGGGATCTCATAAGATTAGTATTAAACTTATAAGTAAGTTTTTACGTGAGCGCTTACAATAAAGAATGCTGGTTAATCTTCTCGTGAAAGTTCTTCTAATTGTCTTCCCTTCCTCCCTTTGTTTAGTATACCGCTTTGAATAACACGGGTGCAATCTTAGAATGCAAGCGTATTAAATTTTAAGTTGTACAGCGTGCGTGCGTGCGGTTCAAGTTCTTTGCTATTTCAAAATAAAGAACGTAAAGAACTTATGTATGCGAATCTATTGACTAAGTAGAGTAAGAACTCATTTATCCTTCCAATAAATGAGATTATTGTAATTGGAGAGTGGCAGTGATTTGGAAATAGAGTGGGTCATTGCCATAGCCACCTCCACGTGGTGTGACCTGGAAATCGGTATCGTTTTTTTAAAGATCTTCAAATTTGTACTTTTCAGGAAAAGTATTTCCTTACAAATTAATACTGACACAACTATCTCCTTATAAATACTAACATACAGTCTTTGGCTTGGCCCCAAAATCAGCACGTGTTAAATGTACCCACAATGTTTTATATCAGAGGTCGGCAACCTGCGGCCC